TTCATATATTTAAAAAATATCTATTAGAATATGTGGAATTGAAATGATATTAAAACGCGTAGTGCAAGAAGACCTAGCCTAACTAAATGAAATAAAACAATAAAAATGTTACTACTCATGGGTATGTATAATCATACCCATGGTCACTATGCTTGCCAAGCACGTATACAACTGGTAACCCGTGTCGATTCGGACCATTCGTCCTACGACATGATTGGGCACCAGAGGAACCATAAAACATGCGACTCACCGTTCGCAGATATACTCTTCTTCCGACAGTCAAGTAGGAGGATGGACAACACCAGGTAGGAGGCTGCCTTGTAGGAGAAGACGGAAGTCGTGAAGAAACTTCATCTGTAACAAAACAAAAAAGAATCACGGTTAATTTTGCAAATTATCAATTTTTATTCTAATAAAATTATATATGAAATTGAATTTTATAAAATATTAGCAATAGCAATTAAGAAGAACTCTCAATTATCAAGTATTGAAATTGTAAATTATTCTATTTTAATAAAAAGCAATTAAGTGACGTACCAAGACGGAAGTCGTGAAGAAAGCCATCATCAGGATATCCAGGAACTCGGCAAAATCAAAAAATTCATCTGTAACAAATCAAAAAAGAATTTCGGTTAATTTTGAAAATTATCAATTCTTATTGTAATAAAATTATATATAAATTTGGATTTTATCAAATATTAACAATGAAAAATAACTCTCAACCATCAAGTATTAAAATTGTAAATTATTCTACTTGAATTAAAATTAATTAAATAAAGTAATAAGATACTTACACTCTTTCCTTATGGAGCAACGCCCAAGACTCCTCTTCAGTGGTGCACTGACTCTAATACCGAATATATCGAGCAATTAAAAATTAAAAATTAAAAATAAAAATATAGATATGAAATACTAGTAACGCGACCGTGAATAATTTCCGGCGAACAATTGTAGTAACTCTACTTTCACGGTGAAAAAGGAAAAATCAGAGCCGCGATGCTCTAGAAAATATTTTATAACACGCAGCAAACACTGACTCTACTTTCGCGTGATTCCTAACTATACAAACGCAACTCTATTCAGGGCCAGTTCACCCTTGAAAAAATCAAAACATTGGAACTATGTTCGTACAAACACTGACTCTACCGACCGCCTTGCGCGCGGCCACAACAATTCCTGAAAGAAAAGATTAGTGCGAAGGTTGGGGATGGGTGGAAATATACAAAACAAAACCAACATTCTTCTTATTGAACGTTCATTAAGGAAATACTGTTATTACGTGTAAATGAAAATATCAGTGTTCGTGAAATATTTTCAACGAACACGAATATTATTCAAGTTGAATATTGATTCTAGATAATAATGAGATGTATTAAATAATTGTTGATAATTATTTCAATGAATATTACAAGGGTAAAATATCATTGTTAAATAAATATAATAGACCATTTTATTAAAGTAGAGGATTTCTGTTGTTAAAATTGTAAACATACTAAAAATTGTTGGAAATTCTATTACGTCGTAATTTATAAATTGTCTAAATTCCTTTCAATAAACAAAGTCCAATAATTAATCATACTTAACCAGCATGTAATTCAATAACGTGATTCTATTTTAATTTAAACTCACACCGAAAGTTGTATATTATAATACAATTACTATGATTTAAGGAAAACAGATTGTTTAAAATAATCAAAATATAATTAAATAATTGCAGAAGAGAAACAATTATCTGCAGTAAAAAACAAACTGTTTCAATTTTGTTCTGATTTACAACAGATGCATGAAACTACTAGTTAAAATTATTCAATAAAATGAAAAATTAATTATCCTTTTTCTATTAATTGATCAAAGAAAATAAAATTTCTCGAATCTTTTCTTCCTTGACCTTGGTACCAATAATTATCAAAGATGCTTACAATTAACAACTAATAAAAATCAATTAACAATCAATAAAAAAAAGTAATAATAAATATTACTAATTGATTACAATAAATCAAAACGTTACCAATTCTTTACGAAATTGTGTATCAAACCAATATCAAGTGTGACAGCATTATATTGCATTGCGCCTTTTCAGTATCAAGAGAATATCTGTAACAAATAAGAAATACAAATTTAACCAGCAGCAATAAAATTATGATTAACAAATGATCGAACTTTGTAAATTATGCAAAATGTTTGAACAGATGAACTGCGTGTACCTACTATGTACTACCGGGACACAAGGAAGGACGAGTTCAACACGTCTTACCTCTTCAACGTTCGCGAAAGAAATGACGCAACCTTCCTTCTCGACGAAGACCAGTCGGCACCATTCGGTATTATTCGGTACTATTCGGTATCGTTCGGTACCGACTGATACCGAAACAGGTAGACGAACAAATCTTATAATATTACGAGGCTCAAGGAAGAACATTATTAATAAAACAGTAAATTGTAGGAAACGATACTAAAATCATTCAATAATGTTTAAGAAATAAACGATATAAAAGGGAAAGTAATTGAGATTCTGCTATTCCAACCTCATTGTGTATTCGCGGCAAGAGCAAAAATTTTCAACTCATGTATTATTGAAGAAAACGCGGAATTAATGCCAAAAATCAAGAGTCTAGACCTTCCTTCGACTTTTCTTTTTGTTTTTTGTACCTCTAACACCCGAAAGACAATTTAATTTAATATTTGAAGATAATTTAATCTTACCTGTTGCAGACACGTGCTAAACGGACGAAGCTTCGAAAAGCAATGATGCTCTCCACCATACTCCACGCACCGCGCCCTCCAACGATGAATCTGATTGGTCTAAATGGGAAGACGCAATAACGGACGACCAATCACAGCCATTGGTAGAAACTTCAAATTGTTTCGAAATTTTAATACTAAAATAAGAAAAAGGTTCATTGAAAATTATCGAGACCATATTGAAATAAAATCAAGATTACTTTTTTCAATTTAAAGCACCGAAATGTAGAAAAGAAGATAGAAAAAAACATAAGATGTTAATGGTATTTAATAAATTATCATCATAAAAGCAGAATAATTGAGAAAGATGTTATTTAATTCGTATGTATATCGGCAAAATAGGGTATAAATTTTCAGCTTACGCATTTCTGAAGACTATGTGAAAATGATGTCAGAAATCATGACTCCGATCTCCTCTTCAACTTTGTTTGTATCCTCTTATTTGTCTTCTGTTTTTTGTATTTTTGATACCTAATACACAATTTAATATGAGGATTCGGGAGCTGCGAATGAACTGCGCTCTAGAGAAAAAATGAGGAACTAAATCATGACGGTCAAGAGAGGTATATCATGAGTGTGACATGAATGAATACAGTGTAAATTATACAAAAGACAACTATAAAAACATATAAAAAAGATAGTCAAAATGTATTCAACAAAAACGCCTTCACTAAGAATTGATGAAGCTGACCTTAAGTGTAAAAATGGTTGTGGATTTTACGGAAATGTTGAATGGGAAGGTTATTGTAGCAAATGTCATCGAGAATATTTACAAAAACAGAGATCACAAACAGAATGTAATACTTATGGACAAGGATACGATTTGTACGTTAATTGATTAATTTACATTAAATGATTAAATGCTTGTAGTTAATGTTATTAATGTTTTAGTGCTGCTTCTAATAAAGGTACCAGTAGTGGTCATCAAAAGTATGAAGAGAAAAAAGTTCAGCAAGAGAAGAAGTATAAATTGTTAAATATATCTTTTAGAAAGCCAGTTGCAAAAGGTATATGTTTAACTTTAATTTTAAGTTACTACAATCTTTGTTTTATAATTTAAGAAACAAGTTTGAAATTAATTTTATTATTTATTTAAATGAATTATCCAAAAAGCTATAATTTTTGGTAAAAGCACAGGGATACCAAGAATTATTTTATGAGTTGATGAAAGAGAACTCAGATTTGGAAAAAGTCAAGAATGAAAATCGTGATCTAATAGCAATGATTGCAAAAACACCAGTGGAAAAAGACGTTAGAAAGTGTATGCATTCTTTCATAATTGACATACTTCAAAATAAGGATGTTAAAAGAACAGAAGAACTTTCAGAGATTACACAAAACTTTTATCAAGTATTTGCTAAACGCTTGGAGAATAGTGCAAAATATGCAGGTATAAGAAATTGCAATTGAAGTACACTAAACTCTCACTATATTGCTGATTATGGGACTGTAGTAATATAAACAGTGGCAATACAACAAGAATTTATTGTAATTCAAAATTAAATTAAATTAAAATGTAAAGTCATATTATAGCTACTCAAAAAATTTTATCTTTTACTATTATTTCAGATATAGCACCAGAAATTAAAGAAAAATTGTTAGATTATGTAGAAAGATATGCAATGACTTTGCTTTACAGAATCCTCTTTTGTCCTCCCTTTACAAATGACGAGGAAAAGGATTTAGCAATTCAAAACAGGTTTGTATTAGACACAAACAAGCTTAATATGATTCTATATTAACATTATAATAAGATATTTCTACAGAATTCGACAATTAAACTGGGTTAGTGGAAAAAATTTAGAATGTAGGATACATGAAACTAGTTCTGAAGTTAGAGAACTTGTTTATGCTTCGATAACAGGTTTGTTCCAGAAGTATTAAATTAATATCTTAATTTCGAATATTTTTAGTTACTTACTTTTTATTACAGACTTATTAAATATGGATTCTGCAAAAGCTCCACAAGAAAAACTCTCTTGTATTATTTATTGCTGTCGAAATATATTCTTAATGCTGCAACAATCTGTCGGAGGACCTGCATCCGCGGACGAATTTCTTCCAGCCTTAATTTTCATTGTTCTCAAAGCTAATCCTGCTCGTCTTAAAAGTAACATCAATTTTATCACTAGGTTTTGTAATGCAAGTAGATTAATGACTGGAGAAGGTGGATATTACTTTACAAATCTGGTAAAGACTAAAATTTATAATACTTAAATGAATAAAAGAAATGTAATATTAAAGAAACGTACAATATCTTTCAGTGCTGTGCTGTATCCTTTATTGAAAATTTAACAGCCGAGTCGTTAAACATGGATGAGAAAGATTTCAACGCTTATATGTCTGGAGAACGTGTACCTGCCAATACTTGGGAATCTGCTTTAATGATGTGTGAAGTATGTATTGAATTTCTTCCTTTCATAACTTTGTGTATTTTCCACATAATTTATCAAAATTCTTTATGTAGAGCTTACATTTAATGTGTGAAGACATAACACTCCTTGACGAGATGAAAGCTAAAAATACAGAGATAATGAACGAAGCGCTAAATTTAAAAGAAAAAATGTTACAATTTCAAGAAGAAATAGAATCAGAAGTAAATGAAGTTTTGAACAGAACTCCGTTATTGATTATTCATAGTCAAAGATTACCTACAAATTTAGACTGTGAAGATATCGAAAGTTATCAGTTACCACCTCCAATTATTCCACAAGTAAGTTATTATTCACAATTGATTCAAATTTACTGTAAATAATTAATCGTGATGATTAAAAATTGATTTTAGGTTTGTTCTACTACAGTTAATAATTCCGTGCAACAAACTGATGGAAAAACTTCTTTGATAGAAGATTGTGTTACACCATCTCCTACTTTTGATTTTCCATCCTTCATTGGTGATGACAGCTTTGATGTAAGCAAAGCAGAAGATGAAACTAGTCTTATAAGCTTGGATACCCAAAGCGATTTTAATATTCAGCCGGAGAGGTCTACAAGTGAACTAGTATCTACACATCTGAATGTACCTTCAACTACAGATTCACAGAAAGAAGATTATCATGGATTTACTATTCAGGGTTCAAATATACCTACAATTCCTTGCAGCACAGGAGATTTATCCTTTACTTCGGTAGAAGCAGACTGTGAAAATTATACAGATTATTTTCATAATGTATAAAACAGAATAGTTTATTTGGATGAAACTTTAAAAATGTTTAATTTAGTGTGATAAATTGATTATGCTATAGTATTCATTGTAAAATATATAAATAACTTAAATTTTTCCGATGTTACAAGTCTGTTCTGAAGAAATTTTAAAGTAAGTGTTCAATTTCACAATTTATCTATATAATACTAAGATGATATTTTACTGCACCCATTTTTTCCAGAGCAAACGTAATGGAAGTAAATTATCTCTCCTTTGTAATTTTGAATCAAAGATATTAAAATCTACCTTTCTCAATTTGTTTAAATAATTGTTTAAACAGACTACTGGTAAAAAGATCAAATTTGCTTTTTTCCCTATATCATGTTTAAGGGACATTGCCTGAAAATAAAGTATAAAGATAGAACATTATTTTTCTGTTTATGTATTTTTATTGCAGTATTATTATAAAAAAATACTTACCGCGTCTAGATGCAGTTTTCCATGGGAAGCAACTTCATGTATTACATCCTTAAGTTCTTTGCTTGATTGACTTTGCAACACAGCTTCTGTAGAAACACTGTGTTTCATTAAAATATCTTGTGGTAACATATTGATTCTTTTTTTGGCATTATAAGGAACTGATCTAAGTAAATTAATAATTCCATGTGCTTTGCCTATATGACTTGCAACATGATCCGCATTAATATTATTTATACCGTGTGCTTCCAATAAAAGATAATAGATAGAAGAAGAACTATGCTCTGCATATTGCTCTATTGCATTCAAGCTATTAAATGAATAATCATAAAGTTTCACTAATCGTACATTAATCAAACGATTGAAATAATGTTTGGAAAGAGGAGACTTCTGTAAAACCTGTAAGTAATCTTGTTACAAATATTACAACTTTTAATTGATATTATATTTATGATAACATGCTAAACATTATATTGTATTATAATTATGTATTAAAGAGATAGAAAAATAAAACCCTACCCTATATAATTCTAACATAACAGGACTTTTGGGAGGATTTCCTTTGTACGTATTACTCAGTGCATCTGTCCAAAATTTTAATCTCATTTCCCCTATTTTATGATCATGTACTTGATCTTTTACTTGAGCCACTTCAACATTGAATGCATGAATTGCAAATGCACTGGCTCTAATTTCAGGCGGTAATAATAATGTACATAAAAAGTTTTCATAATCATTTTTTCTGAAAATATTAACAATACAAAATAAAATATATCTTTTTGTTTATCAATAAAAGAATGAATAAAGTTCGATTTTGTAATATTAACAATATTTAAAACAATCATAACATTCATTATTATTGATCATGGCATACCGAACTAATTCCAAACAATATTCAGCCGGCGTTTGTTTCGGAGTATTCCTTAAATATCTTGACGTTTGAAATAATATATTTAGTTTAAAATAAAGTAATTTTCCTCTCTTAACAAACATGTTTTAAAACATTAACATCTTTCCTAACAGAGAAAATGTAAACACGCTTTGCAATCGATATTAACCTATATTTTATGTAGAATCAACTAAACGAAGTAAATACTGTTTTACAAAGTACCGGTTATTTTTAAATCTTTAAATATATGTTTTACAATCATTTATCGAGACTATTTATAAAGAATTAATTTAATTACTCTATTTTTTTACTAAATTTAATTATAAATATCCCATAGTGCTATGTATCCATCTTTTGCAGCTGTAGCCATTATATACTTATCATCATAAGTTTTCATTTTTTGTGTAGAAAAAGTAATATCGTGTACAGTATCCTTATGTTGGTTTAAAACAGCCAGTGGTTTTAAACTTTTCCAAGAAAATATTCTAACTCTGCTATCCCATCCTCCGACTGCTACAATTTTAGCATCCGGTCTTATCGTAATCACAGAAGTGCCAGGATTTTTTAGAATTATCTTGCTTTTATCATGCAACGAATGATTAGATGATAAACTAAATATCTATAAATTAAAAATCTATTTATATAATTTGTTCTTTTTTAAATCATTCCTTGCTTTTTTAGTTGTTACCTGTATTTGATCAGAGGGCCCTCCAATAATACCTTTCATCAAAACAGTATCAAAATCCAATGACATTGGGCAGGATTCTATTGTAAGAGAACTTAAACTACTTTTGTTCCGAATATCCCATAGTATTAACTTTCCTCCTTCATAGCCAACAAGCACCAATTTTTCATTTCTCAATGGTTTAATCACCATTACTTCTCCAAGTTTTTCAAAGTTTGAAGAATTTAATTTCAATTCTACATTAAAAGTATTTAAAGATAATAGTCCAATAGTGGATTCCTTGAGTGGTACAAGTATTTCATTTTCAGAAAATGTTTGAAACCTGCCATGGATATGATAAAGAATTACCTTGCTTTATTTCTATATATATGTATGTATATGTTTATTTATACCTGCAATAATGATAAAAGTCAATGTCAATCGATTTGTTTAGGACCCATTGACTTTCTGTCCTTTTATATTCCTTTATTAAACCATTTTTGTGTTGTATAAATAAGTTATCGTTACTTAAACTTTGCAAACATAAACAAGAGTCCTGTTCTGATTTAATCTGATATATCTCTCGATTTGTCTTTAACAGAAGGAACAATTATTTTATTTTTGTTTATCTGATACTCAATAAGAATGTATTATAGCAAGAAATCCAATATTAAAATGCTTCATTTACATTTAAATCCCAAATATGAACATTGCCAGCAGCTGTACCTGCATAAAGACTTTCTACATCAGAAGTTACTTGGAAAAGAATACAATGAATACAACCCATATCACCACGAAGAAGATATTTTGGATCTGGAGGAAGCATCGCCATTGCAATAAATTTTCTGTAATAACAATTGCGTATAATTAATTTCTTCAGCTTCCAGGAATTTATTTATAAACATGTACAGAAATACATATACAAAAAATAACAGTGTATTCAGTTATATCTAAATTGATTAATAGGTTACATATATTAAAAAAATAGTAAATTAATATTTTTGAACCTTTTACAATGTTTGACAACAGTACTCTGACCACGTGCAACTATTTACATTGTGGAGGCGCCCTCCCTCAGAAGAAGTTACTGCCAGCGCTATCTAATAACCCAAGGCTGAACTATGATAAAATAGTTGAACTCAACCGGTATCTTATTAGATAGCATTGATAATAACATCCTCTGAGCGCTTAACGGTATGGTAACAAAAGAACTGGTAATACCGACTGTGGATGCTCAAAATGACCATCCTTCGGTAACAAAGGCCTGTCCGGTCTTCTACTATCTATAGTCATTGTATGAGCAGAAAGTGAAAAGGGGGCTGTAGAGGGATACCACATTGGTGGTGAAAGAACCTTGAATGCAGCTGAGATGCGCGAAACAAGTTGTATATTTTCTTGCGACGGGGACTATAGGAGGCCCTCCTAAAGAGGGGTGTTCTCTGTAGTTATACGCCGACTCCCAAGATTGAAAACGATTGGTGGGAGGCTCCTTCCTCTGTATTTCCTTCCTAATCAAGAAAAATTTACATTGTACATGAATGTATACATACAGTAATCATTTGTATGTATCCACCAACTAATTGTAAACTGGTGTATTATTCATAATAAATGAAACATATAGTTTCACAGTTCACGTAACATTATGTTTGATTATGTTCCAGGTAAGCCCCATTGTCAAATGAAAATGTAAGGTTACGGAGGGAACTTCATTTTGGCTTAGAATGGCTATTATCAGTTTAATAATTATCTTGACTGCGTGTTTTTTCAGACTTGTTCTCTTCTCTGATGGTAAGTAATACTCTTTCATTCAAAGTATTATTTCAACATCCACCCATGTTCCATTCATTTTTTCGTCTTATAAACTAATTGAAAACTTTGTTATAATGCAGAAACATTTTCACAGTACGAATTATTATTTTTAGGATCGCCAACGCTTCTCTTTGTCACACAGAAGGATATTAAAATGGCTAATGCCTCTCGTACCAACAAAGTAACTACTATTATAAAAGATCTCTCCGAAGGTGCAGCCATAGATTTTTATTTTGAGCATGATTTGGTATGTTGGTCGGATAGTGGTTTAGAAATAATTCAATGTGTTCAAACAAATGGGACACACATGGGTGAAAGAACAATTGTAGTAAATTCTAGTTTAATCTCTCCGGATGGTTTAGCCTGCGATTGGTATACAGGAAAATTATATTGGACAGATGGAGAAAAGAACAGAATAGAAGTGACCAGCATCGATGGACGTCACAGAAAAGTCCTTTTTTGGACTGATATTTATCAACCAAGAGCTATTGCTCTTGTGCCAATGAGGAGCATACTATTTTGGACAGATTGGGGTGATGTACCTAAAATAGAAAGAGCCGCGATGAACGGAGATCCGTCGACGAGAGAAGTGATCATTTCCGATGATATATTTTGGCCGAACGGTCTAACCGTAGATTATGAAAATGAATTGGTTTATTGGGTAGATGGAAGACTGAAATTTATCGCGGTAATGGATTATTATGGAAAGAACAGACGGAAAGTGGTAGAACAAGGATTAGATTATCCTTTCGCGGTGACATTTTTTGATCACAAATTATATTGGACCGATTGGAAAACATGGTGTGTACATTCGTACGATGTGCGACAATATCAAGCGCATCCTAGAGAATTATTACACGGAGAATATATCCCTGGTGATATAGAAGTTTGGGATATTAGGAGACAACCACGCGGTAATCATCCGTGTGAAAAAAATAACGGAAACTGTTCGCATTTGTGTCTTTTAAGTATGACAGAACCTGGATATACTTGCGCCTGTCCTACAGGCGTTAAATTGGTGGACAACTTAACATGTGCGGAAGGGCCAGAAGAATTACTATTAATAGTTCAAAGAAACGAAATTTGTCGAATATCATTGGATTCTCCTGATTATACCAATTTTGTACTACCATTAACAGGTATATCTTTTTATATCATAATATTATGACTGCTATGGAAATAACTAATAATAATTTCTTCCAGGAATTAAACATGCAATAGCAATAGATTTTGATCCTGTACAAGAGATGCTTTACTGGACCGACGAAGAAGCTCGTGCGATACGCAGAGCTTCATTGGACGGTACTAATCAAGAAAATATTATAACTACCGAAGTAGGGAATCCTGATGGGATAGCTGTTGATTGGCTAGCTAGGAATCTTTATTGGACTGATACAGGAACAGATCGAATAGAAGTGGCTCGATTGAATGGCACAAGTAGAAAGGTGTTAATAAATGAGGATCTAATTGAACCTAGAGCGATCGCTTTGGCTCCGGAGCATGGATGGATGTTTTGGACAGATTGGAACGAGAAACGACCGAAAATAGAGCGGAGTAATCTTGATGGAACGGAACGTACCCTTTTAGTAACTAAAGATATTGTTTGGCCGAATGGAATTGCATTAGATCTTGCAAGATGGAAAATTTATTGGTGCGACGCGAAGACGGACAAAATTGAAGTGTGCAATATGGATGGGACAGATAGGAGAGAAGTGATTACAGATAATCTGCCGCATCTTTTTGGATTGAGTCTGTTAGGAGATTATTTATACTGGACTGACTGGCAAAGACGAAGCGTGGATAGGGCGCATAAACTTACAGGCGGTGAAAGGGAAGTAATCGTTGATCAAGTTCCAAATGTCATGGGTTTGAAAGCGGTTCATTTAGGAAAAGTAAATGGTACAAATCCTTGCGTAAAAAATAACGGTGGTTGTAGTCATTTATGCTTAAATCGACCAGAAAATAAATATGTATGCGCTTGTCAAATTGGATACGAGCTAACGAAAGATAAAAGAACTTGCGTCGTTCCTGATGCATTTATGTTATTCGCAAGAAAAGGGAACATTGGGAGAATTAGTATCGAAAATGCAAATAATGACAACATCATTCCATTGACTGGTGTTAGAGATGCAAGGTAAATTTTATATTTACAAATGATAATGTTTATTGTATTAAATGTTTATCATACATGTTTGTTATTTGCACTAGCGCCTTGGATTTTAATATAGCAGACAATCGTATTTATTGGACAGATGTTAAGTTAAAAACAATCACGAGGGCTTTTATAAATGGTTCCGATATGGAACGAGTTGTTGATCTTGGCTTAGAAACACCTGAAGGTTTGGCAATTGATTGGATTGCTCATAATTTATATTGGAGCGATACTGGTACTCGAAGAATAGAGATGGTTCGATTAAAAGGTTGTAGTAGGAAAGTTCTTATTTGGAGTAATATCATTGAACCTAGATGCTTGGCTCTCGATCCAAGAAGAGGGTAATTATCCTATATTAATTTTTTAATTAAATTTCCAAAACATCTTAATTCGGAAGCTTAAAAAATTAATCTTCTTTTGTTTTATTTACAAGCTATATGTATTGGACTGAATGGGGAAATTCTGGAAGCATAGAAAGATCTTTCTTAGATGGTACCAATCGTGAAGTAATACTTTCTAATATCGGAA